TCATAGTTATTTTATTTTATTATTAATCTTTATTGCACTATAACAACAAAAAAACATATATACAAAATAAAACAATATTTAGTATATGGGTACAAAAGGCGGTCTTATCGCTTATGCGATCTCTTCCAGACAACCTTTGGGTAGATGAGAAAAGACTGAGGGTGGTGGGTGGCGTATGATAATTATCATTTTTTTAATCTACCGCTCATCCAGAAAGCTATCTTATCACAAGAAGAACGACCAACAAACTTGCTTTGCTCTTTTATTACATTTCCAATTCGAAACCACCAAAGCACCAACTAGCACCAATTTATTAGGGTCAGATATTAAGTACACAATAGGATAGAAACAGTTGTAGTGATTAAAAGTAATTAAAGAAATTCTCGGTAATGTAAATATTAATATATAAAAATATTGTCTTTTCTACGTGATAGAAGCCTGAACACCTGAACTGATTTTAATAAAATTTTATATGCAGTTGGTTGGTTTGAGAATGGGTTGTTAACTTATTATGTATTTTATATACCCCTAAGTGATCATAAGGAAAATTAAAACATCTTTATTCAAGGAAGTATATTACTGACTCTTATGATATGTCAAATCTACCGTCAGTTCGGAGTGCTTACGAGATGAAAAGAACTAACAAGAAACTCAGCTCTAATAAGAATAGAATCCTAAACCCACTAAACCAATTTTGATGACATTTTATATGTATACTCAGTAAGACTGTGTAGGTTGTTATAATATTTTATATCCCTATGTGATAGGGTGACCGACCCCAAAAAAAATTTTTTTGTCATCTTTTTTTATGCATTAATAATTATTTATTTATTTATTCTTTTGCACACAAAAATGTATACATGGCGGACTTAATGCCTGATGGCATTCTCTACCAGTCAACAGTCGCGGTGATCAGAGATAATAAGGTGGTGCACTTTAATAATTAATTGAAAGAAAAACAAAAATTATAACAAATAGATACAGAAAAATAGTACATATATATACAGATGCAAATATAAAAAATACTATTATACCAATATAAAATATATAAGTTTATGAATTACATATAAATAAAATATAAATTTAAACTACATATAATAAATATTCATATAATCTCATGGAGTTTATATAATATCATATCTCAATAGAAGTTTGGTTGAATACTATTAAAGAAATTTGGAATAATGTTCACGCAAGGACCTCTTCAAGGTAAATTTGGTTTGACATCATCTAAGGCCAACAGGCAGTGCATTCCAAAGGTTAATGGCAGAAATAGTGAAAGATTGAGATGAGAAATTAGAGCGATGAGAAGGAGCATAAAGAAGGAGATTAGATGAAGAGCGAAGATCACGAGAATGTGATGAACTTAGAAATTGAAATCTTTCTTTGAGGTACTGAGGAGCTAGTGGATCGTATAGAACAGAAAAGAGTTATTATATACTATACAACCCTAAATTTTCACCCTTCTACCATTAACCCCTATTTTTAAATAGCAATATTAATTTACATAACAAAACAACCAAGACATCTAGTATAAATATAAATTATCTAAAGTTATTTCAAAATGACCACCTTAGTTGCACTTATTAATATTTATTCTTTGTGTAAATTATATCTAAATATAATTTTATTATTTAGTTTCCATTATAAAACTTTTAAACTACCGCAGAATGGAATATTACCATAATAATGACATACAAACAATGGCTTTATTCGTTCTTATTGTTAAACAATTATTAACACAGATGTAGTAATACAACTCCAGGTAACTACGCGTAAGTTATTTGTAGTTACACTTCAAGTTGTTGTAATGTCAAATATATGTTTATAGAGGGGAAGGGAATTGCTAGTAATGTGGACTGATGACCCCATTGCTAGCAATATACGCGGTTCCCCTTGGAAACCATCCTGGAAAATTCCTGGTGAATTTACTCATCATATCTCCTCCACTGGTGCCCCGCCAGCGTAAACCGTTAGCGCAGACAGGTGCTTAATTTCAACTTAAAAAAAAATACATTTTTATAAGTGCAATAAAAAGATAAATGAAATGAGCTGATATGAGAGGAATAAAATGAAAATAAATAACGCAACCTACAACCGAAACAGATCAAGCAGTTTGGCGACTGAAGTAGGTGAGACTGAGGTGTTCACACAGACTAGTTTTTACAGTCTACATCTGAAAAATATCATGTATTAAAGCAATCTTAATATTATTTCTTTTCAGTATGCAATTTCAATCTAAAAGACCAAGAAACCTATTTTTCTAAAACAAACGTTGGTACAACTTTACATCATTTAAATTGTAAAAACACGAGTTAAAAATTCTTATCAATTTTGTTTATTAATTAACTAGCTACTCGCCCCGGCTTCGCCCGGGTGTACTTGTATTATACATATAAACCTTCCTCTAGAATCACTCTACCTAAAAAAAATGCATCAAAATCCGTTGCCTAGTTTTAAAGATTTAAGCTAACATGGGGACGGACAGACAGCGACAGCGACTTTGTTTTATACTATGTAATGATATATATATATATATATATATTTGTTCATTACGTGCATCACCTACCATTTTCTTATCTTAATGTTACTTTCTCTACTGGTAGTCTGGAAGAGATTGCTTAGCGATAAGACCGCCATATGTATCAGTTTATGTAATATACAATTATGCGTTTTCCTTATCTGGTGCAATAAACTGTATAAATAAATAAATTAAGCAACAATTTTTATACTACGTTCAGGATGGCATTTTTTTTCATATAATAATATCAAAGGTACCTTCTCCTGCGCTAACGGTATACGCTGGCGGGACCCCAGTGGAGGATGATAGGATGAACATGAGGTCAGGTCAGTTAACACATCGTGACAAATACAGGAATTTATCAGGATGGTTTCCAGGAGTAACCGTGGAGGTGAACCTGGCGCGGTACTTTGCTATTTGGTCAACAGTCCACAACTAACAATACCATCCTGCCAAGGCAGGATGGTATTTTAATTTAATAAATACGAATTATTTCGCGTTCTGGACCGATCGTAGTGGAGATCTTTGGGGGATGCCTGTGTTCAGCAGTGGACGTCTTCCGGGCTGACATGATGAACTATTGCGCCTCAGAGATATCTAATTTTAGTTGTATATCAGATCTCTACATCAAATTTTAATAGAAAGAAGATTAATTAGAGAAAAGCCATGACATATACACTTTATTGCAAGCAACTGTACAGTCAACTTATTTATTTCTAAGTTATTCGATGTAATATTTACTTTTTAAGAAAAACATTGTCACGTGTTTTATATTTCAAAATACTCAAGGACATCTTTATAATAAACATATATTTGTTATTCGATCGTAGAATATCTGAAGTCTTAAATAATTCGCAACACTTGTTACAATATTAGTATTTCCAACGAGAATTAACAATTCGAGAATACACAAATACATTTTATTTCCTTTTAGGCATATTTTTAAACTACAATATACTAGCAAGCTCCTATCAGATTTGTGTGGGCAGGGAAAGAAACACGAGCGGTGAAGGTGAGTGTTCACGTACGTCGGTAAGGGGCACCTTAAACCTACACCATCAATATATCATAATGTAGTGGTCCACCCGCCTGCGCTAACGGTATACGCTGGCGGGGTACCAGTGGAGGATGGTAAGATGAACATGAGGTCAGGTCAGTTAGCACATCGTGGTTTGTTGAACGGATTCGAACTCACAATCTCTCCCAGTCGGGGCAATAAACCACTGCCACAACGCTCGCATAAAGAAAGGAAATTAAAATTAAACATTAAAATTAGTTAAAATTACATTTAATTCTAAAAATACTGTACAATTAAATACTTTACATATATTTATTTACCCGAGCGCAAAAGCCATCAAAATTGTATAACGTTATTTTAATGTTTTATTAATTTCTGTACATATTTATATTGATCATGTTTTTATACTATGATAGTGGCAACAAGTAAACGGCCCATTCGTTGGTAAAAAGTTACCGTAGCCTATAGACGCCTGAAACACCAGGGGTGTGCGTTGCCGATCCTTAAGAAACCTTAATATACCCTTCTTAAAACTCGATGTATTAATTATTTCATTTGTCTCTCCTTCTATAATCAACACGCCAACCAAACCACAAACCATGTTCAGTTCACTAAGAAATCCAATTATAATCGTATTATTAAAGGCTATCTCAAAACTACCGGTCAAACCTCTATCAAATTTATATCCGACCATACGAGAAAAATGAGATTTATAAAAAAAAAAATATGAAACTTCTTTTTTTGTGTTTGATCGTTCTAATTTTTTAACTTCTTCCGAACGGCACAAGAAGACAACCTTTATAATAAGTATATGTAAAACAAATCATTCGACACAGCCGCAAGTATTGGCACAAGTTTGTATGGAATTAAAATGTTCAGGTACCCGTAATTATATATTAAGAGACAATTTCAAGGTATCTGAAGAATTTCCAATATTTTCCAATCCTATTAAGGAATACAGATGACATGAATGCATAATAATTATAAAACCTGGACAATTGACAAAGCGTCATCTAGTCCCATGCAAAGCAGAACTTACGCTTATGGTATTAGACATCTGATATAATACATAATATACATAAAAAACACCCAGATTCTCAGAGTTATAATAAAACACAAATTTTGTATCATTATAAAAGCATTCTGGCATGATTTTTGGATATCTTTGTGTTCTTTTAGGGGCCGTCCATTGATCACGTGAGCCTCAAAAGGACGGGAGGAGAGGAGTTCGGGAAAAATCACGAAATACCACAAGAGGCAGGGCGATATAGTAAGATATCACGTGTATTTATTTTTGCGTCATAAACGATTTCTAAACCGAGTCTCTTTTCTAGAACGTTGACTTTTCTAGAATAAATTTAGATTATATTTTATACCTGAATTTACCGATATTTTAAAAATTTCCGAATTCTTTGATAATGCTAAAAAATACACGTACTTTTGGGTGTTGGAAAATTAATCTCACGACGTATCAATAAAGGAGGATGGTGTTAAATACTCTAAAAAAACGTGATTAATAGATGGCCCTCTACATAAAAAATTTCGTGAAATTTGTACAATATTGTAGACTTATTTTCTAAGTAACGTACGCCAAATTATGTTCTATTATTAATTCATTAAACAGGCAAATTCTCGGTTCTCTAATTAAAATTTATTATTATTAAATTTATTTGTTTATTTATTTCATATTTACACAATATTAACTCCAAAGCCTAATTTCTAAGTATCATGAGCTTTATTTTACTTCTTAGAATCAGGCCAATAAATAATATCCTCATTATTGGGACTATCATCACTAACTCTATATTGTTCTCTTTGTCTGTTATTATAATCTGACCTATGATTATTATCCCTAGAATCAGAATTAGCATTACCATAAGTATCATATCTATAACTATTCGTTGTTGGACGACTAAAATCATTTACCCTATAACTATTTTGACCGTATGAATCGTCACTATTCTCGTAATTTGGTTCATAATTTGAATTAGCATTACTATTATAATTCTGTCGATTATTTCTATCGTAACTCGTACTTTGATCTCTATTATTATTAGAATTTCTATTATTGCTTCCATAATTGTCATAATTTTCATTATTTACATTATAATTATTTTGTTGCCTATTATTATCGTAATAACTTTGACTTGAACTTTCATAATTATTATATCTGTTGTTTTCATTATTATTCTGTTGTTTATTTCTATCGTAATTATTTTGTTGTCTATTATTATTGTAATAACTCTGACTAGTAGTTTCATAATTATTATACCTGTTGTAGCCATTATTATTCTGTTGTTTATTTCTATCATAATTATTTTGTTGCGCATTATTATCATAATTACTCTGACTTGCACCTTCATAATTATTATATTTATTGTTATTATAACTATTCTGTTCTTTATTTCTGTCATAATTATTATTATCATAATTGTCATATCTTTTATTATCATTGTCTTGATGATTTCTATCATAGTTGTTTATTTTTTCGTCATTTTGCTGTGTCGTGGCTAGTTCACCAAATACTACAGCAGCGATGAATGCTCTGTGGACCCTGGCGTATAAGGCTGGCGTATTGGCAGCTCCGCATGATCTCCCAACTGAGGTCACAGCAACCACTCTCCAAACGCAGCCATCTTTGATCTGGGCTGGTCCTCCGGAGTCGCCCTGCAAGTTCGACAATTTTTTTTATGAAATTAGATTGACAAACAAGTAAACAAATTGAAATAGGAAAAAGGGCCGCTTGTAGAGTGGAGGTGATTATTAGCTCTGTGAGCTGGTCCAGTTGCAAGCAGCATTGGAGACCCAATGGCTAAATAGATGTGAATAGTCAGTAATTACCGTTGCACATGAGCACCACAATATCAGGGGTCTTTTAGGTGAGTTACTGGACTTTTAGGAAGGAATCTGCTCCTTTTTTAAGCTTTTTTATAATAGGCATATCAGTTCGTAAATATATATTACGGGTGGTAACTGATTCCATAATGTAGTTGTATGTGGTAAAAAGTTCTAGAATAATGCACGGTGATGAACCATCTTCGTCCACTAATTTAACTATTTTTTATTAATATCAATCATTTTTCTAAGATAAAACTAATTTTTAAATAATATTACCGAGTGGAAGTCCCGTCACAATTGATTTTTTTTAACCAGATCAAATAGATAAGTAATAATTATAAATATTTACTATACAATTAAAAAAAATACATTAATAAAAGGCGACTTTATCGCTCAAAGCAATCTCTTACAAAATTGACAAACGGGTCGCTTAAACCTACACCCGGGTCACAAATCCCGGGAACTGCTCGGAGTTTCCCTCTCTACCACACGATGGACCCGGCACCCGCACGCTACCCTGAAACGCTAAAATGTTTGTTTCTCTTTAAAAAAAATGACACATACCTGACAAGTGTCCTTCCCGCCCTTCCTCTCGCCAGCACAGATCTGGCTCTCCGATAATGGACCTTGAGGCAGTTTCCTGGTGACGCCCAGGATCCGTCTGCAGTCTTCCATATCCCATATAGGAATTGAAACGCCTCGCAATTCCAAAGACTGGTCGCCCCCTGAAGATTGTTTAAATCATGATAAGGTTTTTTTTTAATTTAATTCTGACCACTAATGGCTAATATTATAAATACCTTACAGACTAACATACATATGAATAATATTATAATTGCTATGAGTATTAGACATCTACCCAGATTCTCAGAGTAATAACAAAACGCAAATATTTGTAACATTATAAAAGCATTCTCACATGATTTTTGGATACCTTTGTGTTCTTTTAGGGGCCGTCCATTGGTCACGTGAACCTCGAAAGGGCGGGGAGGAGGGGAATTCGGCAAAAATCACGAAATATAAGAAGGCATGTAAATCTAAATATATGTATATAAATAAAATTGGGGTGTCTGTAATATTGAAATAACCGTTTTTTACTACATGTATATGAATATAAATACGGTACATATACCAAAATAAGATTTTTACAATTTTTGTCTGTCTGTTCCGGCTTATCTCTGAAATGGCTGGACAGATTTTGACGGGACTTTTTTTGACAGGTAGATAATGTAATAAGGAGTATCTTATGCTACTTTTATTTTAGAAATATAAAGTAATTCTACGCGGACGGAGTCGCGGGTACAGCTAGTATAAAATAAAAAAAGGTAACATATTATTACCATATTCCGTGCGACCCCATCCGGTAGCCACTACATGTTCTCCAACTGCAGGCGGTACTCCCAAACAGGCTGGCTGAATGACCTCGGAGAATCTGTAATAACATTATATAGAAAATAACTTAGCTGGTAGAGAATACATATAAATACAATAAATGATAGAAAAAAATGGAACAAATTTCTATTAACTAGTGGTCAAAATTCTAAAATATACAAAAATATTTTTAATTAAATTTATCTGAAGGTATCCTTTCGTGTTTTATATTTTTTAATACCCATTCCCATAAAAGACCCATTGTCTTTCTCTAAACGATACTTAGGAAAAGCAAGTTTGTCTTTAAATAAAGTATTAATAACAATCACATTTCAGGACAATTCACACAGCGCCATCTAATCCCAAGCTAAGTAGAGCTTGTGTTATGGTTACTAGACAACTGATATAAATACACATATACTTTTTTTCTGGTAAATACAAACATAATATATATCGAAAACACTCAGACCGATACAAACAATGATACTTATAAATACAAATGTTTGTACCAAGAGAGGAAAAGTTAATTTTAAACTTAACCGAGAGAGGAATTCCGAAGAAGAATCGAACCCGCGACCATCGGGTGTAAAGCGGTGCGCTGAACCGCTAGACCACCGAGATCGTCAAATATTGTAATGAATGTGGCTGTTTTTTGTAAAAAAAAAGGTTAATGTGACTGAAGCGGAAATAAAACGATGGAATGTAGATATTTCCGAAAAGGGCTCACAGCGAAGAAGTTACAACTAGTCAAAACTGACATAAAAAACTGATATTTAAAATACAAAGTTTATAAAAAAAATGGTAGACAAGCTGCCCCAGCGACATTTAACAATTACGATGGAAAAAAGAACAAATGGTACGTGATGATGCGGCTTGAATGCTCAGATGGTAGATGATGTTGCGGCTCGAATTATAGATGGTAGGTGTTGATGGATTCAGCAGATTACAGGGTTTTTGAAAATGTTAGATTACTATTGGGGAAGATTATTAATTGGCATAGGACAATTTTATATGACAAGTAACATGTAAAATTACACCGTTAATCTTCCTAAATAAATAAATAAATAAATAAATAAATAAATAAATATTCTTCAATTTAATGGGTAAATATTGTGATAAATTACAATTTTGGTGGAGTGAACAAATATACGTTCGATCAGTTGATTTTTTAGGTCTCAAAGTTTATGTGAATCAATGTTATTTGCTGCAAAAGCAACGTTCTTACTATTTTTGAAACAATACTCACGTGACAGTCCTGGCCAGTTTGAGCAGCGCTGTGTCGTAGTACGATTGAGCCTGAGTATACTTCGGATGTCGATACACCGCTGCCACTTTGACCACCAGAGCACCGGTATCGTCCAGATATGTGGAGCCCATTTGTACCACTCTTGGTCCTCCCCTAGATTTTGAAATAACTCTATAAATCTTCTAAAAAACACTGAAAATCAGCGCTGCAGTAACACGCTGCAGCACCAGCTGAGTGGAGCTTTAAATAAACATATATATATATTTATGGTTAATTTTATAGCCATATTCTAAACTATGAAAAATTAACTTATCTGTGTCTATAAATTGGTGCTAGTTGGTGGTTTGTAAATGTAAAATTACAATTATTATTTAGAAGAGCAACACGCAAGTTTCTTGCTCGTTCTTCTTGTGATGAGACAGCTTTCCGAATGAGCGATTAAAAGAATGATAACTATGACTATTCAAAAGTGCTTAAATTAAGTTTATTTGAATAAATGATTTTCTATTCTATTCTAAACCAAAGAAATTCGTCATTCTTGAAGTTAGAATGAAACTTATGTCTTTGGAGTTTTTTTGTTAGTTTTGTTAAATACCTTCCTAATATTAGGTATAGATGTGAAAGTACCTTTCTCTGACTGTCTGCTTACATGCCAAAATTACTGAACCGATTTAAATAAAATTTGGTACTCAAATAGTTCTAGATCCAGAGAAAAGACATAGCTTCTGGTGAATTCGCCACGGTGGGCAAACTGACATACTTTCATAGGTCAGGTAGTCGGGTCAGTTTACCCCACTGACCACGATGGTTTCCAAGGTCCGCGTGGTCGACCTGACATAGTGTATTGCTAGTAATGGGGCTAATATCCTCATTATTAACAAACAGGCGATGTATGGAACACCCCCTGAACCACCACGTCATTTTGGGGCTACTATTATCATATTCATATTAATTAACAACCACCCCCCCCTGAACTTGAACTAAAAGGTCATGCTATGATATGTTTAAAAAAATTCAAAATATCTTTATTCATGTAGACTGTATTACAGACTCTTATGATATGTCAATACTACCGTCAGTTCGGAATGATTTTGAGATGAGAGGAACTGACAAGAAACTCTCGTATTCTTTTCAAATTAATATTATACATGTTTACAATAATACAATAATACAGATGTTTTTTTTTTTCAAACTTGGGTGAATAGAGTGACCATTGTTATCTGATTGAATAATTCATTGTCATTGGGCTCCCTAAAATATGGTCGAGCGCAGTGATGGCTGGCTCATCCGTCATACTCGTGAACGAGTGCTGCTTGTAGGGACTGGTCTGCTCTTATCACTACGACTGATTTAATCTTATTGTGTTTTTATATTTGAGCCTAAATAAATTAGTGCAGGTCGGTAGTTTGTATTCACACGTTTCGACTTGTAAAATGTGAACTTACAAGGATTGTTTAAAAGAGCAACACACAAGTTTCTTGCTTATTCTTCTTGTGATGAGACAGCTTTCCGAATAAGCGGTAGATTTAAAAAATGTTGACTATTCAAAAGTGCTTAAATTAAGTTTATTTGAATAAATGATTTTCTATTTTATTCTATTCTAATGTTTGAGTGTGTAGCGGTTTGCTATGTTGATTGTCGCATGAGTAATAAAATAATTTCTTGCTCGTTCTTCTTATGATGAGTCTGCGTTCCGAATGAGTGGTAGAATAAAAAATAAAAAATGTGACCATTCAAAAATGCTTGTAATAATTATTTTTTATGACAATTCACACAGCGCCGTCTAGATCCAAGTTAAGCTAGCTAAAGCTTGTGTTATGGGTACTAGATAACTGATACATATACATAGTTTTTTTTTAAAACACCCAGACCAAGAAAGTCTGCTCGTTTTGTTTTCAAATAAATGTTATACATGTTTACAATAATACACAGTCATTAAAATCAAATTTGGGAGAATAGAGTGACTACCAGAATAAAATTATCGTTTAAGAATAAAACTCACGTGACCACACTGTTGTCTTTATTCTGATAAGCGCAGTGGCCAGCCGTTAGAACGAACTTGTCGCTGAGCAGAGAACCACCACACTTCCAGGAGTATCCACCACCCTGAAAGGCAAACGAAACCAATTATGAATCTGTAGCATCGCACGTTATTTTTCTTTCCCACTACTATAATGCTGTTGGCCGCAGTTGAACTTTGCAGTTTCACTTGATAGAGGGCGAGTGCAGATGGCACGTCAAACCAATGGAAGGACTTATGGCGTGGCTGAAGGCCAACTTCCGCCTGATGGATAGATTTTCTGATTGATGTCTGATGACACTACAAGGAACCGAACCTCGAACTCGGCCCAGGCCGTCCAGGAGCGCGCTTATATTGTTGTGTCACCCACTGTATTCGACCATCTGATTACATAGTAAACATTTATTTTAAACTTATATAAGTAGTAAATAAAAAATGGAAAGTCGTTCAACATATATTACTCGATTGTAATATTTTACTTATTCATATACCGTGGGTATATGAATATGTTCAGCAGCAAGTGTCTAGCTCACTCTTTGTCAGTGAACCACAGTGAAATTTCTTGGTTAGCAGATTCCGCGCTATTTGAACCATGTATGATCCGAGACGCGATCCGTTTGCGTCTGGTGGCATACAGGTCGAAATTCAAAACAGCAACACTTAAGTTTATTGCTAGTTAGTCATTATATGAGTGGGTTGCTATCCGAATTAGCGGTAGAATAAAAAAATATTGTAGACTATTCAATAGTGCTCACGTTAAGTTTATATGAGAAAATAATTTTCTCATATAAACTTAACGTGTACATATAACTTAGAATTCATCCCCACAAGTTAGAACCTAAGTGGTCGCGGAGAGTGCGGTTTCAGAGGTGCTTCCTCCCGCGTACACTTAGATTGTGGAATGAACTACCTGCTGAGGTTTTCTCGAGAGACCACTGCATGGGGTTCTTCAAGTAGAGTATACTAAGATTTCTTAAGGGTCGGCAACACGTGACACCTCTGATGTTTCTGGCGTCTATAGGCTACGCTAACCGTTTACCATCAGATGGGCCGTATGCTTGTTTGCCACCATCTTTACATAGTATAAAATGACGTCGTTTTCGCAATCTGTTCTTTTAGATCTTATAAACTACGCAACGGATTTTAATGCTCTTTTTAGCAATAGATAGTGATTCAAGAAGAAGATTTATATGTACAATATATGTACACCCTATGCGAAGCCGGGGTGGATAGCTAGTAGTATATAAAATTCAATTTAATTTAATAATAATTTATTTATTTACCAAAATTGTATCATATATTCACAAATAGCATTGATTCCTACACTAGGTTACGCCTGTCCTGTAGGAACCAGAATACAATATCCAAAACTATCTAACCAAAGTAATATAATAATGAGTGAGGCGGTGAGTGAGTACGTGTGACTGTAGGGTCTCTATGTGTGTAGGTACTGTATGAGTATGGTTGGTTTATGAAATTACCCTGAGTATGTTTTCAGGATCATCATAATTCATATTTTTTAAAAGATTGCTTACATTTTTTTCTCAAGAAGGGTATATTAAGGTTTCTTAAAGGTCGGTCGACAACGCGCACGTGACACCCCTGTTGCTGCAGGCGTCCATAGACTATGGTAACCATTTACCATCAGATGGTCCGTATGCTTGTTTGCCACCATAGTAGTATAAAATAAATACTTTTACCTCTTTGGCCGTGCAGTTTTTTATATTTGATAATTCGTTAACTTTACTGTAAACTAGCTGTTACTACTTCTTATACTAGGTAAGGGAGGGGAACGAAAGGCGCGGGAACAGAAAACTAACGGACTCTAATATGTATAATAATCTGTGCTTACGATGATACAGGGTAGATTTTTAACTTTTTTTTTCCAAAATAAATGTAGCCTAAGTTACTCCTTATTACATCAGCTATCTGCCAAAAAAAGTCCCGTCAAAATCGTTCTAGCCATTTCAGAGATTAGCCGGAATAAACAGACAGACAGACAAAAATTGTAAAAAATCTTAGTTTGGTGTATGTACTGTATTTACATATATTCATATGCATGTAGTAAAAAATGGTTATTTCAATATTACAAACAGACACTCCAATTTTATTTATATGTATAGATAAATGGAATTGAGGGAAGCGCCTGGGAAAACTATTTCAGTAGCAGGGTTAGGAAGGGTACAGAAACGCTTGGTTCTAGTTCTTTATTTGGCAGTTTTTTAAGTAAATTGTGGCCATAGACGACAGCCCCCATAAAGTACAACTTTCGGACGCTTAGAACTTTCGCAACGTTATAAAGGAATGTTGTGGTGTATTTAAAAGGCTTGCTAATCATAACTTTTAGTATAGAACGTTGAGCTCTTACGAATATAAAAAAAAACAAAATGTGATAGTACTTACAACGGTCTTCGTCCATCCTAGCAAAACCATATGTGGGAACTCCCGTATGCTCACTGCCTTCCCTCCAACCACAAGTGGCACTGGAGGAGCGCACTGGGTCACATTAAACTGGACAGGGTCTGGAGACGGCAGCAGTGGAATCGCTTGCAAATTTGTCACACTCCTCGATTTGTATTTGTCACACACTGAAACGAATGTTAATAGTGATTAGATAAACAAAATGGGATGTTAGGATGCTACTAATCAAGGCCATATGCTAAAACTACACACTACTACAATGCGTATGCTTCATTTGTTAGTTCGAGTTATGCTTAGTCCGAAAGAGGCAGGTAACGGGCAGTATCGGACTGATACCTATTACCAAAAAGCTTAAACAATATAGACTTAGGTGGTATGGACATAAAATCAGGTGGGCATCGACTCCATATTTGACCCTAGGGTCTCCACCCTTTTATTGGATTGTTAGGGCAATCCGAAGCTCACCGGGGAGGCATTAGGGTCTGGAGGTGGCGTGCAGAGACTGTTCCCTGCACGCCTAGATGGAGGTCCCTTCGATGGGAACCATGCCGGTGGTCTTGGTGAATGCTTTGCGTATCCCATGGCCACGGCGATTATGTCGAGGAGGAACAGTCGTCAGGTTTTTAGCAGGTAGGAGTCCGGCAGTATCCATTCGTCCCTAAGCGGATGGTTCTCCATGATGGATTTTCCTGACATAAAAAAAAAAAAAGGTGGTATGGACATATTCTGCGTAAACCTAAAAACCACGCTCTGAGAAAGTGCCTTTCCATAGCTACAAAGAAAAGAGGACGAGGTAGTAGGTCACTAACTAATTGGCTGACTAATGTCCATAGGAGGATATGAAGGAGTTGGGCCTGTTAAATGACGATGCTTACCAGCGAAATGTATGGCGCCCCAAGATATCGCTGGTATACCTATCGCTCCCACTTCGACCGCATATATATTAACCACATCTTTTGTTAATTCGTCAAATAATTTATTAATTGATTTTGTATAGAAAACTTGTCTCCTATGTTGAGATATACAGAAAATAATACCATTAACATCATTAAGTCAATATGTTAACTGCTAGGCAATTAAGTCGTCATTACTAGTAGGTATATCAAACACAAACTCAAAATAAGTGAAAAGTTAAGAAAATTTTCCAGTAATCAATAGAAATAAAAATAATCTTTATTAAAATTAATTGAATATAATCACTTTTGAATAGTACTAGATCATATTCTTTTTATTCTACCTCTCATTCGGAACGCAGATCACAAGAGCAAGAAATTTACGTGTTGCTATTTTTAATTTGTTCCCGAATTCACAACACAGACATGTAACTTTAGAATAAATATATATTATCTGGCAATATATAATCAATATGTAATATTTATATATCAAAATACTAGTGGTCTTATCTATAAAATACGCCATAAAACCATGTTGCTCCCTAATAATATAGTTTTCTATGGATGACAGAATTTTAGAAAATGTCATATGTTTGAAAAATTCCCAATCTGTCCTTTGTAACAAACCTTTCAAACAAACAATTCACAAAACGCCATCTAGTCCCAAGCTAAGCAGAACTCGTATTATGTGTACTAGACAACTGGTAGAAATACTTAATCATTTTTTTGTAAATACATACATAATATACATATAAACTAGTCAGACCGATACAAATACTCACACTTATATTTACAAATGTTTGCATAATGCGAGTTGAAACCACAACCATAGCAAAGAAGACGGTGCGCTAAATCTTAAGACCGGGGGTCGGAGAAATTTATAATATTAATGAGCATATGAAAATAAAACTTACTTCTTTCAGAGACTTCAATGTATCTTCTCTTCTCAACGTTGCTCATAGAATCCTCATCAGGTCCAGTCAGCATAGGAGGACTTGTATCAGGACCCTCTGGAAACCGTATAACACTACCATCCGTAGGCCTCGGAAATACTGCTAAAGGTCTTTTAGTTGCAGGTTTATTCGTTATTGGAGGCCCATAAGAATCAACCAATGCAGGTCTAACTCCAGGAACATTGTATAGTGGATTATAAGTCGTGTACCGATTATAGTAATTGGTAGTATCAAAATTAGGACTTGGCGTGTATTGATCGGCAATGAAATTATCAGCGTTATCCTGCCATCGTGTTCTACTACCAACACTTGGATTACCGCTCCCCACATTTCCCATTCTATAATCTTCTCGTACATTTGCTACAGTCGTGCTAACCATTTTAGTTGTAGCTTTAGTTGTACGTTTCGCAGGTTTGGAAGTTGTTACGAAGTTGAAATTAAATACTGGAACTGCTGTTACTATCCTTCTTTTAGGTTTATCTCTGGTTACTTGCCTATCTCTATGTGTGTCAGCGTTGCTTGCAACAGCTGATGGTTTCGTGTTTTGTCCTCTTTTCTCCTGTGTGGTAGTGTTACTGTTATCATTTCGATGATTGTATGCATATTTTGGACTTTTTGTTGTACGTTCCTCTTGTATGGGATTAGTTGTCGATCTACTGGTTTGGTAGTAAAACTGTGGTCGAAGTTCTGAGAATATGTCTGGAAAATTTACAATTTAGTATCAATAATATTGTCTTGTTTATATTTTAGTGATATTTATTAGATGCGATAGTCTAATTAATAAATAATGACGGACAAATCACACAGTGCCTTGGTGGGAAGGATTGTGAGAAATATTGACTAATGACTTCATTGCAAGCAATGGAGTTATTAGTCATTTTCCACTGGTGTCCCGCTAGCACACAACGTTAGCGCGGGAGGGTGTACCACTCCACTAACATCTATTAAAAAAATTCAAGCAGCGCCATCTAGTCCCTACTCAGAGCAGTGATTGTATTTGTTTGCAATGGCAATTAATATAAACACACACATAATATACAAAAAATCCAATTATTGAATTTGGATTTTTGTGTATTATGTATATATGTATCAGAGCCTTTCATACTAATATTGAAGCGGAGTTTACGTTCAAACATCGAAGTATGTAACATCTAATTTGGTTATAGTTTATATTAGTAAGCATGCTTCTAATGTTTTATAATAAAAGTAGCAGTCCAGACCAGCCCCGGCTTTTGGCATGTAACCAAAATTTCCAATATTATAAATTTTAACAGACACATATATTCCCTTGGATATTGATGTATCCTCATAGTACATCACTATGGTCTATTGTCAAGAATTTCCGCAGTATGCGCGATATAAGGATTTCATTTAGTATTTTTTCCTAAAATTTAATCGTATTTTAAAGTCGTCATCACGCACGCGACAACCCTGGAGTCTCAGGCGTCCATAAGCTACGGTAACCGTTTACTATCAGATGGGCTGTATGCTTGTTTGCCACTATCTAAATATATATAACTCAAAGGTGACTGACATAGTTATCTATCAACGCACAGCTCAAACCACGGGACGGATCGGGCTGAAATTTGGCATGCAGGTAGATGTTATGACGTAGGCATCCCCTAAGAAAGGATTTTGATTAATTCCAAACCCTAAGGGGATAAATTAACGCGAGCGAAGCCGCGGGCAAAAGCTAGTCGTAGTATAAAAACAAAGATTATCGAAGTTTTCTATCGACTATGTTCATTAAGGATAATTTACAAACAAACAAATGTTTCCTATTTATTATATTAGTATTTAAGTTGAAAATCATTTGTTTTTATGTCCACTGGACGCGACTACCATAATTAGTCTATAATGAAATTGTAGGTATAATTCTCACAATAAAACTACGTAACAATTAAATCTTATGGAATCTGCCGATCGTTTGCGGTTTCTGATTTGTTTGTTTGTATCTAAAAAGATGTATAGACTAATATATAATGTTCTCGTGTTACAGTGTTAGTTGCAAAACTTCTTCGATACTTAACTAATTTTGATGTAATTTTATATGTATACTCAGTAAGTCTAAAGATAGGTTGTTATAATAATAATAATTTATTAATAACTAGCTACTCGCCCCGGCTTTGCCTGGGTGTACATGTATTTTAAATATAAACCTTCCTCTTGAATCACTCTATTCATTAAAAACAAACGGCTTCAAAATCCGTTGCATAGTTTTAAAGATTACAACCTACAGACCGCGATAGCGACTTTGTTTTATACTATGTAATTATTTTGCAATAGCATATTATGCTGGTGGTCACTCTTTCCCCCTAAATTTGAATTTACAAATTAATCTGTATTATTATAAACATGTACAACATTTATTTGAAAAGAACACAAGCTGAGTTGCTTGTGAGTTCTTCTCATCTCGAAATCTTTCCGACTGACGGTAAATTTGACATATCATAAGAGTCTGTAATAGACCTACATGAATAAAGATATTTAGAATTTATTTTTAACTCCATTGCACACAGGTAAACAAAAAACATAAGAACTATATTTTACAAAAGGCAATATATAGCAGATATGGCAGTAAAATTATAGTATATAGAGACATGGCATCTTAGTTCTATGGCATCACATGATAAAGTGATGTCCGTAAAATAAATCCACGGGATCTTACTACATTTTATTTATTTTTATAGAGTTCCTTATATTACGACAGTATTTCAACCGCCATGATCACGGGTAAACCAAAGAGCAGCGGGTAAGATGGTAAATAAAATTATAGACAGAGATATTTATCTACCTTTTGTTGCTGTTATTGAAAAATATAATTGACTGCATAAAATTTAAAATAAAAAAAAACATTCCATTTCAGAAGTAAATAACAAGATAGGCCGTCTGCATGTTTCGCCTTTCAATAACAAAAAAAATCAACTCTAAATTTCAGGTATGTACTGTTTGTCTTCCTAATAACTGTCTCTCAGGCACACACCACTGTTCTCACTCATCGTTCACAACCTAACGCCCGCATGACGCCAGCAGTGTGCGCTAGAGACAACCTAATGCTTCCTTTTCTTTCACACATACTACAGGATACATACATTCGTCCTGAGCAAATAATTATGTTTTGTTACTAACCATAAAACTGTGCTTGTACCCGCGTCGTTATTGTAAAAACAAACAACAAATATATTGTTTTATCCACCATCTTGATACCATAATCGCCTGAAACAAATAAAAGTATAATATTAACCACAGAGCATTTTTTTAAATAATAAATATTTGGCCGCCGGCTTTTTTTCGTACTACTCTAATGCTGTTAGACGCAGTTGGCCTTTATAGCTTCACCGGGCGATATGCGCGAGTACAGATAGCACTTCAAACCAAAGGAAGGAGTTATACAGCGATTAGGCCAACTACGGCCTGGCGGACACGACTTTATTCTGAGGGCACCGCTAGGGGTTCGAACCCGAGGTTCGTCAGTAATTTCAACGACTATAACCGTATTTGTGGTAAACAAATTACTTCTAAAAAAATGCAATATTTGCGAAGGTGTATATATATATACATGATATTAATCCTTATCCAAATAAATATGTTATTTATTATAAGTATTTGAAGAAAATTGTTCTTTACACCGTTTGATTTCGACGAACATTTTAGAAGACATCTTATTTTTAATAAAAGAACATCAAATATTGGGCCTGTGTAAGACAGTCGGGTTGCAAGTGACTATAAAATAAAAAAAAAACCTTATGGCGGGAATTAGAAATTCGATTTTTAAATATTTGAACCTATTCGTTTTTGAATTGCGTCGTTCAACAATTCAATTTTGAATGACCGAAATATGTGTGGCAGAGGTTCTCTTACATATTTGCATCAATTCCATTTTTGTTTTTAATTGCATCGTACTAAAATACAATTTTGAATGATCGAAATAGATGAAACAAAGGTACCCACGCAGACGGTTTCACAAAGATCTACCTATTTCATTTCGTGTTATGAATCCGTTGAGGTCAACGGAAAGATTGAACATGAGCAAATAAATATTGAATGTTTATACAAGGAAAATGTTGGACATAACAAATTTTACCAAAATAAGTCTGCCGGACCACTTCAAATTCCTTTTGCCAAAATCAGTTAAGTTATACGAGATTACAACTTCAAGCCCCGAGCCAAGATCTAAATTCGACAAGCATTTCCTCTCGGGAGAAAAATTCTAGAATTGTTAACATAGTTATGCATAAGGTTTATTTTTTATTAAAAACGTTATACCATTACAAGTCTACCTCGGTAAATATATTCATTATCATCATCATCATCATCATTATCATCTTAACCCGAAAGACGTCCACTGCTAAACAAAGGCCTCCCCCAAAGATCTCCACGACGATCGGTCCTGCGCTGCTCGCATCCAATGCCTCACAGCGATTTTGACCAGATCGTCGGTCCACCTTGTTGTAGGCCTTCCCACGCTGCGTCTTCCGGTCCGCGGTCGCCACTCAAAGACTTTACTGTCCTACGAGCTATGTGCCCTGCCCATTGCCACTTCAGTTTTGCAATTCTTCAGGCTATGTCGGCACTCTGGTTCTTCTGTGGATTTCCTCATTTCTGATTCGATCACGCAGAGAAACTCCGAGCATAGCCCTTTCCATCGCCCTCTGAGTGACTTTGAGCTTATTCATGAGGATATATTAGTGCGACGGCGACTGTTGACTGGTAGAGAATACCATCAGGCATTAAGTCTGCCATGTATACAATTTTGTGTGAAACTGTTAATTATCGTGTGAGGCACCATTAATTAAAAATGGTAAGGCAATAATGATGTTTCTTTGTCAAAGGCATTTAGAGTAACCTGAAACGGAACGGCAGAGTTCAGAGTCTAAATAATCTTTGTGACATTGACAAGTAGACTGATGGATGGATTGAACTGACGCGACGTAGCGAGAGTTTGGAGCGAAAAGTTGCAAAATATATTTACCTATATATCATATATTTATTTATTTTATTTATTTATTTAATTAACACAATATAAACTTACAGCTAATTGCCAACACGTTTATATTTTAAAACTATTTAACTATACAATGATAAAAATATTCTTATTTTATTTATTATGGAAGGCAATTATTATTATTATGTACTCTATTAATATATATAATTACATTTATTTATATTACTCTATTAACTACTAACCAAATTTGTGTTGCCCCTTCCAGTTTCTACATCAGAAAGACTAAAATTACTTGGTCTTTTGGATATACTTTTTGTCTCCAGTGATACATGACGCTGGTATAAATGGTCGTAAAAATAACGACCGATTGCCATAGAAGAAAAGAAGAAGAAGTTGTAATGTTTGTTATTATCAACAAATAAGAGAAATATAATTGTGAATATTGTAGGCATTGGGGGGTTTATTAGTTGGGACTGGGAGCATACCTCAAGTAGTGAAGGTGAGTGTTAATGCATTCTAAAAGGGCCCTTTAATGCTACACCCATGACAGAAGTCACGGGCACTACTTGGGATTCTCACCCTGAATTATCGGTGATCAGCATCAGGGCCTAACTCGTCATCATAACTACTGATTTTAATAAGAAGAACAATGTTTCCTAGATATTAATTTGAAAACAAACACTCTGCTTTAATTTATGAATGCGTAGATATTCACTAGGTACAGATGTCCCACGCAGTTACCTAAGCCGGAAATGAAATATGTAAAACATATAATTTATACTTATATTATACAACACATACATATCGTGTCAATGTTATGGTTGGACTTAAAATAGTTTTTTTATACAAACGTGTATAATTTATATTATAAGGAAAATCATAAATAAATAATTGTAATTTACAAAACGATATATAAATTTAAAAATACGAGTATTCATTAGTAGTTAATAGTAGACCCCGCAAACATAATCTTCAATATAAATTAAAATTGCTATTAAAAAATAAAGGTTTATGGTAGAAGGGTGAACTTTTAGGGTTGTATGTATTTTAATGAAACACCACATTAAAATTTTTTGTCCAAAATAAAAAAAGTTAGGGGTTGACAACCCTTACCACAAAGGGGTATAAAAATAGATAATCTATTCTCAGATCTAACTTTGTGAGTTTTGTGCATACTAATTCGAATAGTAAATAAGTAACGGACCACCTGATGGTAAATAGTATGATGTGGGAAATGTCTTGTATTAAAATCAATATATATGAGATGTTACATGCTTGAATGATTCATAACAATTAACTAATTCTACATTACAAAGGCATAAATGACACATCAGAAAGGTAAGCAGTGAATAACTTAATTACTACGACGTAATATTTGAATATGATATGTTTATAAATAACAACATGGTCAACAGATCAGTTCTAGCTAGACATTGAAATTTTAAAATTGAGGACAGATCTGACATTTGTTTTTTTTTAACAAGGGTCTTAAACAAAGCTATACTATATTGATATAATTTATATAGCTACTATATAACAGTGATACCCATCGGCTATATACATGATCATCACGTTATCAAACCCGTGATACAAACTAAAAAAAAAATTCATTGAATTGTTTTTATATATCACAAGAATCGAAGTTCATATCAATCACTTGAATTCACTGTAGTCATTGCTTTTTATGATGTACCTATAGAGAAAATTACGAATAATCTGTTTCTAAAAATAGTTAATACTATTATTTTGCGGACAAAAAATGAGACCACAACGTCTGCGAATAACGATTATAGACTAAGAGCTGGAGTGCATTTTGATATAAAAAAATTGTATTTCATACTCGATGTATCACCAGAACCTATTTTACCCTCATCTGATAAAAAAAAACCCCTAAATAAACAATTAACACAACGCCGACACACACGTGATGCACACATGATATTCTCCGTAATAAATGCGGTAGAAAATATACAGAGATGCTATCTATCTCCGTAAAGTCAATAGGTCGAGTGTGTCACAAAGACTGATATGTTTTTTTTAATCTTATTAATAAACTGGGATTAGTAAATCCATAACTAAACTGAGAGAATTACTAGCTTCCTATCTCCAAGTCAATGAAGTATTTCCTTTCAATAACAAGTTACTTGCGGTTGGAGAATCAACTAATCTAACTAACATATATTAACTATGTGGTTACAATAATGTATATATATATGTATATTATGTATTATTGTAACTACATAGTAAGTGATGGATATATAATAAATAAGTAACCCTGGACAATTAATACAGCACCATCTAGTCCCACGGTAAGCAGAGCTTTTATTATATGTACTAGACAACTGATACAATACTTAAGATACATTTTTTATAAATACATACATATTATACATAGTAAATATTCAGACCGATACAAACAATCACACTTATGAATATAAATATTTGTACCGCGACCATCGGAAGTAAAGCTGTCTGCTAAACCGCTAGACCACCGTGGCCGTCAACATATACATGAACAGTTACGAGCATCACGTTATCATGTGATACCTGTGATACCACGTATCCGTCAGGCGGGAGTTGTCCCCCGCTCAAAGTCCTTCCTTTGGTTTGGAGTGCCATCTGCACTCGCCCCCTATCGTGCGGTGAAGTTGTAAAGGCCAGCTGCGGCCAACAGCATTAGAGTAGTCCGAAAAAAAACCCCACAATACTACTCATACGTTGCCATTCTAAGAGGAGAGGACTAAGATGTAATGCCTTGTATCCAATTATTTCTCTGCTCTTCAAATTCAAATTCAAAATATCTTTATTCATATAGGTTTATTACAGACTCTTATGATATGTCAAAACTACCGCCAGTTCGGAATGATTTCGAGCTGAGAAGAACTTACAAATTCCGATCGTATTCATTTCAAATAAATATTGTACATGTTTACAACAATACAGATTCATTTTTAAATTCAAATTTGAGAGAATAGAGTGATAACCAACATATTCGTGCCTGTAACTTCTTGATAATAATGTCTTTGAAGAAAAAAATCTAATTTAAAATTACAGTTGTGCAGTAGCAAGATCATAAATTACAACAGGTTGCCTAGAAAATATTATAGGCGTTTTAAATTTATTGTCTGTACCTACTATATACTGTACATATACCTATTACTGTAAAGTTTTATCAAAATCCGTTCAGTAATTGTTGCGTGAAAGAATAACAAACATACATCTATCCATATATAATCACAAACTTACGCGTTTATAATATTAGTAAAATATT